CCAGGAGGGAAAAGGAAAGGGAGGAGGAAACATTAATGAGGGAAACACAATCTGGAAGGAATAAAAAGGCCCTCTTCTGCGTCTCTAATATTAGCTCTTTGTGATTTGCAAAATATTAACTCCCTGGAATAAAAACAATTCCCTGATGCTTAGGTCATGCTTAGTAGCTTCCTAATAAACTGGAGCCCAAGCTCAGTTGAAGCCATGGGTGCTGGTGCTTCAAGCCTCCTGGTCCCCTTCAGTGTCCCTCGGCCTTCCTCTCTCCCTACAACCCTGGGGGCTTCCCAGCTCAGGCTAGGTGCCTGCAGGTTTGGGGCCTTTACACACAAAAGGTCTGGTGAGCCTGGAATGAGCTCCCTTTGTCTCTGGGGAAATCTGGCCTTTAAAGGGGGCATAACCCCCCCTTTTTTTCCCTTTGATGAGTGGTTTAGTTTAGGACCTGGTCATTCCATCCTACTCCTGTTTAACTGACAGTTGCAAGTGAACAACTAAGTTAAATTATTTTATACTAGACAACTCTGACCCGGTGGGTCATCCTTGGCGGTTTCTCTAGGGTATAGGAAGGCATGACAGTGAGGGCATAGTTTCATCATTGCACCAACATAGCAGAAATATTATGCCTTGTGAGTCGTACATTTTGCCTTGCTTTTCTCTGTCGAAGGCGGGTATTGCCGTGTTCAGCAATTCTCGCAGTTATTACTCTTTGCCACATATTCTCAAGTCGATCTTCCCTATCCTCCTCTGTCTCTTCTTGTCTCCTCATTTTGTGCCTTCTGCTATTTGTTCTTTCTCTCTGTTTCTGGAGACGTGCATTTCTCTGCTCCTTTGTCTCTTCCTCTCTCCTCCTTCTGTGACTTTCCCTATCTTTCTGGAGACGTGCATGTCTCTCCTCCTCACTCTCTCTTTCTCTCCTCCTCCTTGCTGCGTCCCGACGACACTTGGTGTCATCTCTTGACCATGACGTCCGCCCTCTCTTTCCACGCGGCATAATTAGGCTATTTTTTTACCCCGATGCTGGACAGTGCCGTCATCATCTAAGAAGACTATATATCATAAAGAGAAAAATAATCGTAGTGGCAAGCAAACTTCAATAATAAATCAACATTTACTTACTTAAACAGATAAACAGAATGACCATGGACAGGCAAAAAAGCAATGGGAGAGGGAGCGACTTCCGACTTCCTGCCGGCTTCCCCATTTACTTTTCTTCTGGAAAGCTGGCAGGGGATGTCGGAAATCACGATCATGTGACAACGGGGATGCTGCAATGGCCCCAACTTTGTGAATAAAACTGGTCTGAACGTCCTGGAACTTTCAATTACACTGTAGTAATGGGTCCGGATTTTTTACTCATTCTTTAAGTTAGTGGATTATAGGTACCTTGATTCAAAAATTGTTGCAATATAATGCACTGTTTGGGCTAACTTGAGGATACACACAGACAAAAAGATAAACAAAATGAGAATTTTAGTAGTATACTCGACAACCTCATATTTCCTTACCTAAACAAAGGAACAGAATGACCAAGAGCAAAAAAGCAGTGGGAGTGGGAGTGACTTCCAACTTGCTGCTGGCTTCCCCATTGACTTTGTTTGTGGGAAGCTGGCAGGAAGCATCAGAAATCTTCCTTCCTCCCTCCTTCCTTCCCTCCCCATCCCTCCCCTTCCTTTCTTCCCTTCCTCCCTCCCCTTCCTTCCTTCTTCTCTCCCTCTCCTTCCTTCCCTCCCCATCCCTCCCTTCCCTCCCTCTCCCTCCTTCCCTCCCCATCCTTCCCCTTCCTTTCTTCCCTCCCTCCCCCCT